TACCTATAAACTAATAAATAAATAAAGAATCTAAACCAAACTCTGGAATAGTACTTAAGGTACTATACTAGTTACTAGTAGAATAACTAGGTAATAAAGCTTATTCTTATAAAATTTATATATAATAACTTTATATATTTAATAATAGGAATTTCTTTATTTTATATATTATATAAATTCTATCCTAGTATTAAACTATATATTAAGAATAATATTTCAGAAAAAGAAGTACTAGTAATATAGAAAAGAATATAGAGGATTTAAGTAGAACGGGAAGTACTAGAGAAATAATAATAAGAAATAATAAATATATAGAAAAAGTACTATAATAAGAAATATATTAATAAGAAGTTTAATATATATAATAAAGTCATGCTTTATATAAAAAATATTTAATAGCTATAACCTAGTATAAAGCTAGTAAATAGATATCTCGGCTTCTTTAAAGTTCTAGAAGTTATAAGAATATATAAATAGATATATTACTTGAAATTATTACTATTATATTAGATTTATAATATTTTCTATATTTCTTTCTTAGAACCATAATACTCGCAAGCTAGTACTATAGTAAAACCAGAACTAGTTAAGATTAAGGATAAAGAAAAATTCGAGATAGAATCTATTATAATTTATAGAAAAAGTAAAAAAGAAAAGAAATATCTTATTTATTAAAAGGGCTACTTACTAGTAAATAATATATAGGAATTACTAAGTAATTTAGAGAATATAGCTTAAGAATTATAAGAATACTTGGAAAAGAGTAATATTATAATACTATTAGCTAAATAGAGATATAAAAAATAAATACTTTTATTAGGAAACTATTAAAAACTATATATTTATTCTTGGAAAAACTATATAAAAATTATTAAGAATTCTAAAAACTTTAATTTCTATATTTTATAAATATCTTATTTTTATAATTACTTTTTATTATTCTTATTATTATCTTTATTAGGATTCTCTCGAGAAATAAGTAATAAATTAGCCTATAAAATTATTAGCTATTAGTAAGAAATAAGAAAAAAGTAAGCTTACTTAATACTAAAGAATATTAATTATATTATTAAGAGTACTTTATACTTATACTAAGCTAGTAAGAATTACTTAATCTATTTCTTAAATTATTAGGGGAATTTATTAGCCTTAAATAATAGCTTTAATATAAGAAGTATATATTATTTAGTATAAAAGAAAAATAGTAATAGCCTTTTCTCTTTTAGGTAAAAAATAGGAAAGATACTTATATATATTAATAGCTTAAAGAAGGCGGTTTAATTATATTATATATACTTAAGAAACCTTAAATAGTATTAGAATAGGGAATAAATAAAGGAAATTATAATTTATAGAATTATATTTCTTATTTTTAAAGTAGTAGTAATTATATACTAAGTAATTATTACTTTTAATATAAGTAAGGTTAGGAAACTTAGTAATATTCTTGGAATATTAAAAGTAATAAGGGCAAATTAAGAATATAAAAGTATTAGCCAAATAAGTAGTAATAGGCTAATAAGTATTAAAAGAAGTATTTATTTTAATAAATAAAGAAATAAAAGAGGGAATTAGAAAAGAACTTAAATAAAGCTTAAATAAAGCTTAAAGGAACTTAAAAGAGCTTAAAAAAGGCTTAAAGAAGGAAAATAAGAAATAAGAAGAAGCTAGGTATAGTATTATAATTAAGGAAAGAAAAAATTAGTTAGTAGGAAAAGAGAGGCCTTTTTATAATATTTTCTTTCCAAATAGTAATTACGAATTCGGAATCGGCTTTATATTAGAAATATCTAGAAAATTCTAAAAAAGAAATTCATAAATAAACCAGAAAATTAGATTAACTTTTCTAAGCTTTTAGGCCTATAGAATAATAATTTATTTGCAAATAGAGGCTAAGTTAGGATTTATAAACTAATTAGAAAACCGGAAAAGCTTCCTCTCTAATAATATATATTATACCCGTATTACCTTTATAAGGGGAAATTACTAGAGGTAATTTGCGAATTAGCTAGGCAGGATTAATAAACTATATTCTCAAGTCTATTACCTAGTATAATAATAGGGTAATTATAGGAAGTTTTTAGGGAGAACTAATAGCTAGAAAGGTTTTAGGGAATTATTTATAAAGCTATTTATAGTTCTCTTAGGCCTCTTAGGAATAAGGGCCTAGAGAGGAAATTAATATAATAAATATATATAATAGTATATAAATAAGTATTAGATATTATAGATCTAGTTTCCTATTTTAGGTAAAGCTTATAATTAGAATTATATAAGTAATCGGAATTATATGAATTATATGAGATTATATTTCTTAGTTAAGTAAAGTGCTTTATAGGCTTAGCTAAGTACTAGGGAATATATAGGGAAATACTTCTAGTTTTAGAAAGGGATATTAATTAGTTTTTTATTAGAATTAACTCTTGAAATTAGTTATACTTGCAAGTATTACTTTATAGCTTACTTATCTTAATTACTTATATATTACCTTATTATTACGTGCCTTATATTCTTTAACTTTAAATTCTTAAGATATAGAAAATTATTTATTTTTAAGCCTTATTTTATTATTTTATTTCTGCTATTACAAATATATTTAGTTTCAAAAAAAAGCCTAGCTCTAGCCCTAAATAGTTTAATAAGCTTAAAGCCAGGAAACTATATTATATATACTATTAATATTTAAAATCTTCTAATAATTTCTTTTTATTCTTTATTTAATTTTTTTTAATGCCTATTTATATAGCTTTTTATATTTCTTTATTAAATATTTTTATATAGCTTTTAATTATTTATTTATAAAGTATAAAATCAGTTTTTTAATATAGGAACTAATAATTATAAGCTCTAGAATAAAGTAGTTAATAGGGTTTTATAAATACTTTTCTATTTTTATTTTCTTATAAATATATAAATATTTATTAGATCTTCTAATAAAAGAGATAAAGATTCTAAATAAAAAGTATTTATTTTACTAAATTAAAGCCTTAAAGATTCTTTTATATTACTCGAGTATATAAACAGGTTCTTTAAGTATATTAGCTTTAATTACTAAAATAAATTATTATATTTCCTAAATAAATAAAAACTTGGCTATTATTATTTAAAGAATATTTTTAATTACTAGAAATTCTTTAATTTCTGCAATTTAATATATTTAAACTTATATAAGAACTTAATACTAATTATTAATTCAGATTTTAGAAGCTTCTAAATCTATTTTACTATAATCTAGAATTCTTTTATAATTCTCTTTTATTTATTTTTATATATTATTTTCTAATAACTAAAATTTATTATAAAAAGCTTATATAATATTCTAAAAAAAAGCCTTTATTAGAAAATAAATAACTTAAAATATAATATAAATAGAGCTAATTCTATTATATAATATATCTAATTTCAGATATTTTAATACTAAAAGCTTTATACTAACTAATTCGAGTATTTAATAATATATTTCTTAAATCTAAATAAGTAAGTATTTCTCTTTAATATTATTAAAATAAGCTAAATATAAAGCTTTTAATTATATTTCTTTTTTATTTCTAGTTTTATTTCTATATTTTATATTATTAAAAAAGTATTTTATTTAATATTTAATTATTTAATTATTTAATTATTTAATTATTTAATTATTTAATTATTTAATTATTTAATTATTTAATTATTTAATTATTTATAAGAAAAAGAGAAAATTTTATAAAAAGTAAATAAAAAGCTTCTGAAATATTAGAATTAATAAAGTATTATATATTATTTAAGAAAGTTTTTTTAATTAGTAAAATATATATTAGAAACTAGTAAAGCTATTATTATTTTAAAGAGAGAAATAAAAAAAGAGATTATAAAAACAGGTGAAATGTATTCTTTTAATAGTTATAATTATTAGAATATTTACTAATTATAAATAAAGATATATAGCTAGTATTTCGGGCTTATAATTATTATAAATAATAAGAAATAGTAATTTATATAAAATAGTTATTTAAATAGAAGCTTATAAAAAGCTTTTAAATCTAGTTAAATAATAAAGAGCTATTAAATAAATAAAGCTAAGCTTTTTACTACTTGTATTTATATAATAATAAAATTAATTCTAGTAAAATATTTAATACAAATTCAAGATTAAATTTTAAAAATTACTAATAAATGTCTTATAAGCTAATTTCTTTATTCTTAAAAGAAGTAATTTAATAAATAATTATATTTCGAAATTTATAAATATATAACTTTTTATTAAATATATTTTTTATAAAAGAAGTTAATTGAATTATTTTTAATAAAAGTAATATTAAAGAATTATTTAATATCTTAAATAAGGCCTTTTATAAGCTTTTAAAAGCTAGTAATAAATTTCTCAATTTTAATAATAATTAAAATAATATTATTTAAAAAATAATAGAAAGTTTATAAATTAAAGTTAAAGCCCTTTAATAAAAGCAGGAACTAGTAAATATAATTAATTAGTATATTTTATAAAAAACCTTATTTATAAGTTTTTTTATTATTTAATAATACTTATAAAAAAATCTTTTAAAATAAAATTAAAACTTATTTCTTTTTATAATATAATAAGCTTTAAAAGTAATTTTAATAGTATTTAATAAAAGCTATTATAAATATTTTAAAAATATATTTAAATTAAAAAAAATCTTTTAAGATTTAAATATTTAATTTATATTATAAAAAGTTTTTTAAAAAAAAATTAAAAAAAATAAAAAAAAAAATTTTTTATTAGAAAGTAATTAATAAAATAATATAACAAATTAGTAAGTTATAAAATTATAATTTTAAAAATTAATATAAAACTAATCTTTATTTCTTTTATAAAATTTGAGAAAGCTTTCTTTAAATAATAATTCTAATAATATATATATATAATTAGAGAATTCTAAGCTTAAAGCTTATAATATAAATAGTAATATAATAATAATATATAAGAGTTATTAATTTCCTTAATTAATATTTAAGATTTATTATATATAACTTTATATATATTATATAAATATAACTTTAGTATAAAAAGAGGAAAAGTATACTTGCTTCAAATAAGGTTTTGAACTCCCAGAATTAGTATAATGGCTAGTTGGAGAGATGAAATCCAAACGGGGGTGGGTGGCAACTGGAACATGATATTCATCGCATTCAATGTGCAATTCCTCTGTGTCGGAATGTTCGTAGATGTTATATTCGGTGGAAAGAGGTGATTCCAGCTTCTCAACCGTAGCGTCAAATTTGAGCCATCCGAGGCCGGGAGACAATTAGTGGCGATCGGTGTCGATTCCAGATGAATGAAGCCAGGTCTTCACGGATTTAATTGACGTGCTCGAAGGCTTGAACAAGTCGCCGACTTCTTTTGCACTCATATGCTGCCCATACTTGCCAGACATAGGATAGGAGAGTTACGTCAGAAGCCCATTGGCAATGTCGAGGTTGCTTTGAGAAAGGCCAATTCTGACAGGTAGCGTTGTCGTGGGCGGTGCCCGATGTCGCAGTACTAGCTGAATGAAAGATTCCCGTTTCTCGTGAAGGATATGCCCATTGTGAGGAGTGGGGACTGCAAACGAGAAACCACAAAGGAGGGTAGAGGTGGCGACGGTAAGGAGCCGCATTGTAACGTTGTCCAAGAAGGAGAAATTGAATTGTTCTTGAAAAATCCCGAGCTTTGACTTCCCATTGAGCGTGCCAGTTTGCCTTATTTATACTTTTCTACATTCTAGCATCTCTTGAAGGTCCCGATGGCAGGCTCGGCAACGATTGCTGAGTAATCGATTAGTAATCGATTACTAAATAATTATTCCACCGCTTTTACCCTGCATTCCCCTATTTTTTTCTTCTCTCTCTCTCTTTTCTTCTCTCTATTTTCCTTGCCTTATATACTAATTTTTTCTAAAAATATTATTAAAATATCTTCTTTACTTAAACCAGATTTATTATTTACGTAATTAGTTTTAGTAGATTCTACTCCAAGTACTCTAGATATATTAAAGTTAAGAGTACCTTATTAGGAATTTTATTATATTCCTATTCTAGATAATCTTAAGCAAGACATTCTTTATTATATCTTTTATAAAACTAAGTTATATAGTATATAAATATCAAGAAATATAGAGAATTATTTAAGCTACTACTACTAAATTATGATATTAAAGGCTAAAAGTAAGAGCCAAATTACTATAAACTAGTAACTCAAATAACTCTAGTATAAAGCTTAAGCTAAAAAGGAAAATGGGATTAAGAAGTTTAATAATAAGGTCCTTAGAGCTTGCCTTAATATAATAGTTATTACTAAAGCTCTAATCTTTCTAATTATTATATAGAATCTATCTTTTACTCTTATTAAATAATCGGAATTTTATATCTTTTACTAAGTCCTGAATCGAGCTTATAAAGGCAAGATTATAATCTCTTATTCTAGAGTTTATAATAAAGTTAAAGAAGCTTAAGGAAAATATAAGATTATTATATAAAAGATTCTTTAATTAGTAATCTTACTTATCTATATTTTACTTAATATTTAGATCTTCTTAAATTAATTACTTCTTCTAGTAGTTTATATATACTTTATTATATATAATTATAAGAGATAAAAAGCTCTTCTTATTCTCTAGAAAGTACCTGGCTATAGTAAAAAGAACTAGTTCTCTATTCTTTGCCCTATTCTTAAGAATTATAGTATTATATAAAAGCTTAGGGCTATTATTATTAATAATACTTCCTTAAATAATATTCTTTATTAATATATTCAAGCCTTTTTAGTAAAGTTATATAATAGGGAATAAAATATAGAGAAATAGCGAGTTTGCTATATTAGCTATATTATTAATCTTATTATCTAAGCCTTTCTATTTACGGATATAATTAGAATAGAAAAGCTTGAATTATATAATAGCCAGGAGAAAACTAGAGAGCTTATAAATAAGAAAGTAATTAGGGCTAAGTTTAGGCTTTTAGGATTACTTAGCCAAGTATATAATATTATTATTTATATTTATAAATTACCAGGCCATATAGCAGCCTTTAAAGCTCTTATAAAAAGGCTAATTCTAATAGATAATTAAATAAGGTAAAATAGCTAATATAATATACTTTTTATATTTCTTAATTTAAGGCCTATAGTAGAAAAGTATTACTAGAACTATAAGAAAGAGCTAGAACTAGATCTTTTAAGCTACTAAAACTAGAAAAAGCTTTATATAATTAAGGAATTCCTTAGTTTTTTCTTATAAGCTACTTTTATTATAGAGAGAAATTCTATATCTATTAATACTATACTTTTTATAATATGGCTATTAATATTCTCTTAATAGTACTAATGAGCAATGAACCAGAGAGAGTCTTTCAGGGGCTCGTTATACGGTAAGCTGGGATAGGGGGCAGCTAGAAGCCGAGATAATTGAGATGCAGGAGTGCCTTAAGTACTGGAAAAGGACTAGAATTCTAGATACTTTCTTTAAATAGGTAAATAATAGAGAGCCTTTCCTTTATTATATATAGTATAGTACTTTACTAAACTTCTGAATCTTCTGGAATTAGAAAAGGGGTAAAATCGTACGTATATAGGGATTAGCTTGCTAAATAATTAATTGCACTATTGATATAATCGATACCTTACGATTATGGCATTAATTATTATCGATAGTGCAAAACGCCAATCGTTGCCGAGCCTGCCCGATGGTTTTGGTCAGCACATCCAAATTTGTTACAGAGCTGATGCACCTTGTATGCTTAGAGTGGTCTAGACAGACCAATGGCTTCCATCGTGATCTAATCGACCATATACAAACGTCCAAAATTTATGATAACTATGGAACAAGAGGTAAGAATTCGCTGAACAGTCACTGTGCGGCTCGCATTGTTGCCCACATGCTTTTCGTCACACTGTTTAGGAAGGTCTGATGGCTTGGAATTTGGACAGTCAGCATCAAGCAACCTGGTATCACAATACCATGTCACAAACAAGTAGAAATGACAAAGTATATACAGCTTTTTTTTAGAAAGGCCCAAGGCTTGGAATTGCAGCTACGACATTCGGACGTGTATATGCATAAGCAAAACTACCAGGAGCTCCTCTGAAGCTTAAGTTGATTGAGCATAGGCCAGGGATAGCCGAGTATCTCATCATGAGCCACCACTTATGCGACTTTAAAGGTTTGCCGATTGGCACTCGTATTTCAGAGCCAATATGGCCTGGTAGCTTGCTATCAATAACCTTGATAAAAGAGGAATGCTACGTTTGAAGAAATCTCGTGCCTAAGCAAGTCTGTTAATTGCGCTTTGCCAGCCAAGAAGAAACTCCGCACATCCAATATTGGCATACCCAATTCACAGCTTCACCACAGGCCCAATGATTGCATATGCACTTGGAATTGAGCAAGTGAGGTGTCACGGCCTGGACAAGCTGTGGAAGTGGAATGTGGTGTGTTTGTATAAATATATGTATGAATGATGGTGCCCTAAGGGCGGTGAAGAAGCTATATATACGCCTGTGCGCAGCACGTGACATAAGGGGTTCGTTTCCCCCACAAACTTTTGAGTTAAAGCGATGAGGAGCAAATATATGCAAGGGCACGCTCACTTCAGTGGAGCGGCTTACCTGCCTCACCAGGACTTGACCTATGCTGGTAGTGTTTTCGAGATGTTGTCTGCGTTTGCCGCGTGGTATAATGCGCTTGTAACCACACGTACGTCTTTCTTATGTTTGAAAACATAGACGAAGAAAGGGAAGAAGTGAAATGGACGGCTGACTTTTGAGTAGATTTTTTACTCTTCCAGTCTTTCACTTTCCGTGGTTGGAGCATAGTCGGAAGCTGAGACAGAAGAGCCAGATTGTGGAGACATCTCGAGCCTAGTGTGAGGAGTCGATGTCGAGCTAGCGGACGGAACCACGATCTCCGAGGCAGTTAAAGTTTTCCCAATCGAACTTTGCAGATGCGAGAATAGTCAGAGGCTATATTGTAAATATAGCTAAGCTGCATATATGTCTCCCTATATATGTAGCATAACTCTTAGGAAAATAAACGTTTAGATGACCAAGAAATATTTTCTCGAGATTTGAGCCAGCGTCGCCAACAAGCCCCTCGGTTGTATGATAAAAGGAGAAAAGCTCTCGGACTTTATGTGTACTATCAAGACGCCGCAGATCCATTGTAGAGTGAAGATACGCGGAAGCTCTCTGAAGCTCAAGCCAAACCCAAAGCCATACGCTCTGTGTTAACGCCGGACCTAGCTGATTCGCCTTTCTTGATGACAGTACGCATGTGGTGCACTGCATTTCGTACCTACTTCGCGTTGAGTATTCGACGGCGGCGGCGTTTATATGTGCTTATGGAGGCGGTGATTCAGCGAAATGATAGCCCGGAACTCGACGAATTCTTTGGAATACGCAATAGTTTTACTTAATTATGGCTTTATGGTTCCTTCAGTTTCCATTTACTCTTGTCACATAATTTCAATAATCATGTGAGCACGTCCCTACTCCCTCTCCTGGGCTCTGGAGTCGTCCCAAGCTTTGCTGTTCTTTGTTTGAGCTACGGTCGGAGTTTTGATTTCAAGTAGCTTGTGTGTCTCAAGGTTCTGGAAAGATATTTATATATTTTCTGTGTAAGTAAGGGAGAGACAGGAGTAGTATTATAATCGTATTTATAAAGTACTTTGAAAGGACCGTATCTTTACTGCAACCCAAACAGCAGCTTCCCCGGTATGTCAACAGAACTAAAAGAATAAGAGCAAGAATCGAAAGAATATAGTAGGGAAGCAAAATACAGCCTCGCGTCGCCAAGCAGCAGTACAAGCCAAGGCGAACCTTCCGATGGCCTTGAGAGTCTCTCCACTCAGCCATTTCCCAACAACTGCAATGACTCTTCACACCTCCTCTCGGATGCTCAAAGTCTGCCCCATCCCTGACCAAACCCTAAAGCGACGTTTGATAGCCTTCCACGCCTCCACGAAGGCGACATAGCATATCAGACACCCAAAGACCACACCCCACTCCCACCCAATAGCCTTATGCTTAAATACAGTAGTATTGACGACCGGGATATAGATGACTGGAAACGTGATAAGAAACCCCGCAACCACAGCCCAAAGCAAGAAACGATTATACGTGAGTGCTTTGAAGTTCGAAAATCTCCCTTTGAAACGGGCCGGATCGAGATTGAACAGGCTTCTCGAGAAGTGTTTCACTTCCCACGCCGTGACCAACAATAGGATACTAAGGACCCCGAAGACAGTGGCTCGAGCACGAAAGACAACATCGCAGCTCTCGTTCCATTCTTCATTGCAATTTGTTCCAAGATTTCCATTTCCTGCACCATAGACTACGATGACGAATGAGACGAGACACAAAATGCCAGCCCAGCTGCCGTAGAGCATTTTATCGCATATGAGTTCCCAAGTGAACACGCCGACGTTGAGATCTCGAGGTTGGCGAATCATGATGTCAGCTTGAGCTTCCTCCATGCCGAGGCCAAGAGCCAAAAAGGAGGAGGTGATCATGTTTACCCAGAGTATCTCAAGTGGCGAGAGCGGGAATACTGAGTTCCCATTGGTATCTCTGAACGCAAGGGCAATTAGTAGCAAGATAACTTGAGCGATATTCGAAATTAAGAGATGCAACAAGAACTATATTCAATCAGCAAATTTCCAAGATGCATCGCGACTTTCAATTTACTTTTTGAATATTATCAAATAAGCGTCGTCCTTCTTCAACCGCTTTCACAATTGATGCGAAGTTGTCATCCGTCAGAACCATGTCGGCTGCATCTTTTGCAACATCAGTGCCATTGATGCCCATGGCAATACCAACATGAGCACGCTTTAGAGCTGGAGCATCATTGACTCCATCTCCGGTCATGACGCAGAATGCCTTTCTCCTGCGCAATGCGTCTACCATCCTCACTTTCGTAGTGGGGCTGCAACGAGCAAGTACTACAGGTAACGAAGACATGGTGTCGATCTCAGCATCCGAAAGCCTGTCAAAGTCTTGAGCTCTCATCACTGAATGTGCTGTCTGCTGGTCAGACTTCAAGATTCCCACTTTCTGGGCGATGGCAGTTGCAGTGTTAAGATGGTCGCCAGTCAGCATATGGACAGCTATACCTGCATCATTGCATTTCATCACTGCGTCAAAAGTTTCAACCCTCGGTGGATCGTAAAGACCAACCAGACCTTGAAGCTTGAGGTTGGACTCCATGAATCGGCGGTCCAAGAGGTTGCGTTCGTTCTCTGGGGCAATTCTTTTGCTAGCAATGCATAGAACTCGGAGACCTTCGCTGGCAAGCCCTTCGATGATCGGTATCAGCGCCGCTTCTTCCTTCTCTGAGAGATCCAGAATGGGGATAATTGCTTCGCTGGCGCCTTTGGCATACACTTCAACATCCCCAGTGGTCTGAGATTTGTAGGCGACTGACATCCTCTTCAAGCTTGAATCGAACTGGTGCTCCATCTCAGAGGTCAACGTGCCACCCTTCAAGAGGTCATCTTTCCCATTGTTGAACCTCATGGCGAGGACTTGCAGAGCGATTTCAGTGGGGTCACCAACTGCGGCCCATTCTCCGGTTGAAGGATGCTTCTCTGAAGAGCATTGAGCTACCGGGCTAGTTCTGGAAACAGATGCAAAGTTGCACAATGCTACAGCGTCTAAAATTGGCTTCAGCATGGTCAGGTTATGCGAAGCTGATGTCTGATTGATGTTGAAGGGCGCATTCCCGACCTCAAGACTTCCATCATTCGGATCCAGAATGTTCGTCACATCCTTGATGCTCAAGATTCCCAAGTCCGGTGTCCATAATTTATGTGCCACCATTTTTCCTTGAGTCAGAGTCCCTGTTTTGTCGGAACAGATATTTGTGACGCCACCAATTGCTTCTAGTGCAGCCATACGTCTGATGACAACATTGCCTTGTGCCATTGCTTTCACTCCCGCAGCAATTGTGATAGTCGTGACTGCGATCAACGATTCAGGGATGACCGCAACTGCAACACAGATGCCGTATAAGACAACCTCGTTGTCGAGATTCCACTTATTTGCCGAGAAGACGATGATTGCTAGGAGTACAGCAAGGCTGAAGAGCAGGATCGCAAACTTGGAGAGCTTGACTTGCATCGGGGTTCCGACAAGCCCGAGAATATTCTTGATACCTTTGCCAAGTTTCTTCAGGTATCGCATAAGAGGGTTGGAATCTTTTGCCTCGGGCTTGTCGCCTCTGAGAAGTGATGCAACTTTTCCAACTTGAGTCTTCATTCCGGTAGCAACCACGATGCCAGTTCCACGACCGCGAGTGACGGTTGTGCCGGAGTAGGCCATATTGATTCTGTCTCCAATCGACGCATCATGGCCAGTATTCAGCACAGCCTCGGCATTTTTGGAAGCAGGTAATGATTCTCCGGTCAAAAGAGCTTCTTCGATTTCCAGATTCATACTCTCGAGTAGTCGTAGATCAGCTGGAACCACGACTCCAGTCGAAAGCTTGACAATGTCACCCACCACCAGGGTTTCAGCCTTGATGATCTCGGTCATTTTATGGCGGATGACGTGGGAAGAAGGCGCAGCGAGACTGAGTAGGGACTGCATGGTTCGCTCTGCACGGAAATCTTGTATAAAACTATTCTTGTTTAGAGACTGAGATAAACAAACGTTTGGCAGTACCAACCCTAGTATGATGTTCAAAAGAATAACCGCTGTAATAACAGCACCTTCGATAAAATCGAGGGTGCCGTACGAGAGAGCCATAGCAATAACAAGAACCTGGCATATATCTCAGCGATTTCAATGTGTTTTTTTGATGGGACCTACGATTGTCAAGCTGTTAGACACCTGTCTGAGCAGAACTTCTCCAATAGAAACCGTTCCCGCTCCATCAAGCTTATTTGGTCCATCTCGCTCAAGTCGCTTGGTTGCTTCTGTATTTGAAAGCCCATTCCTGACAATGTCAACGCGAGTCATCAAAGGGTTGTTGAATACCTACTGAGGATCGACTTCTAAGTAGGTAGCCACAATTGTGGCATCGAAAGTGTGGGCGCCACTGGCGGTCCCATCCCAGGAGTTTGCTGATGTGATGGAGCCATCGTTTCTTTCGCCGCTTTCAACTCTTGCTCTGCTATCGTCGTCAATAGCGATAGTGTTGTCTGTTTTGACTGAAATGCCCCTCGAAGGAGGGGCGCACGGTATAGGTGGTTCATCAGCATCTTGGCTGTCCTGATCTTCGATGACGATAGGCTGAGCGTGGCCATCGGCTTGCGTGGAGTGAGTAATAACCATTCGTTTTTGGTGTTACTAAAGTTGATAGATTCAAGGAATATGGGTCAATGGCAATTTAAGCAGAAGGAGAAAGAAGCCAATACTCAGCTTCGAAGGGTTTGATGGATTACTTGTATGTTTCTCAAGGTGGGGTTGTTCCGCATGTACGTGTGCAACCCCGCTTTGCCATGGATTTCCAAAAACTAGTGGCAGGGCATTTGTGGTTGAACAGGAAGTGCATTGGATAACTTTGCCGTGACTGGTCGGCTCGATGACCAAATTCTTGGACAATAAGCCTATTCACTTGGCAGCATGAGAAAGTGAGATGTCGTCGATTTTGGAAAGTGCCAAGCAGGAGGAAAGCCACTAGCTAAGCATTGGCAAGGGGGCGAAGCACGATCACGTGAGAGGCAATATGCTGGGCGTTTACTTGGTAGAATCACCCTACAGCTCAGGGTTTATTTATCTCTACTACCAAGTATTCGCGAGGAAGATCAACAGTGCCTTGCGCCTCTCAATCGGGAAAAAAATAAAACGACACCCCCCTACGGAAAGCCGTAAGGATCAGATGTGCCAGCGAACTTTTCACTAACGACTTAACCGATTCCCCGCACTAAAACACGTGCTTAAGAAAAACACTTTTACTAATTAAAAAGTAACCACTTTATAATATCCTTTTATTTTTAATATATAGGATTCCCTAAGTATATAAAGCCTACTAATAGTATTAAATTATATAGATAAGAAAAAAATTTTTTTTAAAAAAAAAAATTTGTTTTTAATAATTTTGTTTTTAATAATTTTATTTTTAATAATTTTATTTTTAATAATTTTATTTTTAATAATTTTATTTTTAATAATTTTATTTTTAATAATTTTATTTTTAATAATCTGGAGCGTGGTGTTGGCCTCCCCGGGTTTAGCGTCCGCCGGATCGGGCAAGGTGCGTGCATAGGCCAGCCGCCGCTTTCGATGTCTATAACACTCGCCCACCCCGCTGCTCAACCCTCTTCCTCTTCAATCCTTTCTCAACACTTCCTCGCTCGGGAGTTCGCATCTCATCATGCGCCGTTGACCCCTTCCACCGAGGCCCACTCGGAACCCCCCCCCTCTAGTCGGCCTCGCCGCAGCTGAAAAACCTTGCTTCGCAACAAGTTTGAAGCCAGAACCCTCGATCTACCACTCCAGCTTCGATCCTCTTGCCTGCTGCGACAGCGATCATTCCTCTTGAGTCGCGTTGTGTATTGGCTTAGATACGAGCATGAACTCAGCTCAGCTCTATATTCTCGCCGTCGCACCCTCACTCGATGATTGCGACGACAAAGGCTTTGCCGTGGCATTGCTTTCACGCGATATGACCTGGCTAATCGAAGAAATGCCTCACGGCGACGTGGCTGGCTTTTGCCTGGCTACGCCGCGGAATTACGTGTCGGGGGAAGGATCTCGGTAAGCTGCCTTGCGCCGTGGAGATGATTATATGCGCTATATATCTTGTTCTGGGCTGATTTGTGACGAGAAGGATCGATGTTAGCCAAGGTGGTTGTGACGGATTGCAGATCGCATAATGAAACTCCTGCTGAGCGTTCTTACAGACCGAATACGAAGCGCTGGAGGTGGGAGAACGGGTTTACAAGTGGATAGGGAGATATGGACGATTGCAGGAAGGTAGATCGTGTGACCTTGGAAGGAGCTCGATCCCGGGCTGTTGCATATTGTGAGGATGAGTCTAGTGATTGAGAGCTGCGCGAGGATTCCTGGCACGATCTTACTTCTGTCAAAGGAAGATCTTTGGGCTCAGCTGGGTGGAGACGGTCGTAAGCTCGACTGGATACGATGCGCTGGTATGATCACAGGCCTATTTCTCGATCTTCGGTGAAGCCGAGGAAGGCTGGAGACGTGCTGTCAAGAGACTTCATGCGTGCCCAGACGCGGCCAGGATCTTGCAGGAGGTTCAGGGTTTCTGGGCGATTCCTAGTGATCATAGCTGGATCACTGATCCAAGACTCGTTTATCATGCAACTGGTACCAACGAGTCCCTTGGAAGCAAGCGGTGGGATAGGGATGCAAGGGCGCATAAGGAAACGATCTCTTCTTGTTCGGGAACGGCGACTGAGCGGGGATTTGCATAGAACAGCAATATAGCAGGATAGAGCTTCTTTATACCGACGAATACTGCCTCGCGGACGAGCTCCTGTAACCCTGGCATATAAGAGGCTCGTGTCTTTAAGCGCAAAGTAGAGAACGAAGACGGGGAGCAATTTTATATATAATATTGTTTTCCTTTTGTATTCCGGTAAGGCGGAGTCCTAGGCAGTAACGGAATAGCAATTGTAAACGGCAGATGGCACAAAAGGTAAGATAGGAGGATAATTATATAAATTCTTGTATTGCTCTGATTTAAGAAGCTTCTTAGCTTAAGAAATCTGTATTCTGTATTATTCTCTTAGATTCACCTATTTATTAGCTTAAATATTTCGCTATAGCAACTAATACCTTGAATTATATTCAATTTTAGTACCCTTCTTCAAAACTCTTATTCCGTAACTAGTATATATCTCTAGTATAGCAAAATAATAGGTCTGCTATTATAACTAACTCTCGAAATCAGCCTATATTATAATATCTAAATACTAATCTATTATTTAAAAGAAGTAATATTTCTAATAATTTAATTATAATAGCTCGAGAATATAATTCTATAGCTTAGCTAATTCCTAATAAAATTAAAGCTTAAGATATAATTCAAAAAAATATTATAAGAATTTATTTAATCTATAATAAAAAATATAAACTATATTTATAACTCTAAAATTTATAATAATATAATAAATAACGAATTATTATTTATAAAAGATACTATATATCTGCCTTTATATAGAGAGATTTTAGCTAAAGAATATATTTTCTAATATTTTAAAAAAGAAACTCTTAATATAAATAGAAGCTATTATAATTTATTATAGCCTATATTAGCTAATAATATAAATAATAACTAGAATATTTAAGATATACTAGCTTTCTATTACCTATTATAAGTAATTTCCTAATAATATATAATATTAGTTCTATTTTATCTCGAATTATAATAAAGTATTCGAGTAATAAAATAATAATTATAATTATTCTATATTTTTATAATTATATTAATTATTAATTTAGTATTAAAATATAGTATTAATATATTTATCTAACTATTTACTTATTCTAATTAAGCTAGTTTTAAATAGGAAAAATATATTATTTATATAATCTAGTATTTTTAATTAATTATAATAGTACTAGATATATTTTAAAATAATATTAAATAAAATAAAAAAAGATAATTAAAAGCAAATAAAAAGTATTATATATATATAATAGAAATAGAAATAAAAGTAAACTTTTAAAATAAATATTATATAATCTAAAATATATAACTCTCTATTACTAATTCTATTATTTTATTATATTTTCTATATTTAATTTATTATTAAATTCGTTTATTTAATATCTTAATCTTTTCTTTTCCTGAATTAATTATCTAAATAATAAAAGAAAAATTAAAAATAGCTTTAGGCTAGAAAATAATTATAAAATATATATTAAAACAAATTATATTTCTAAAGCTTATTAAATTAATAGTATTATTATTTATAATTTATAAAATCTTATTATAAATTTTTTAATTAATTTAAATAAAGCTATTTATATAAAGAAAAATAATACTATTATTAAGTTTAATAAAACAGCTAGTAATTAATTACTTAATATCTTCTATTATTAGCTTTATCTTATATAATTTTATTTCTTTTACTAATATAAAGTTCTGGTTTATAAGAAATAAAATATTATTTATTTAAAAATTAATAATATTATATATAACTTTTCTATATAATATATATAATATATATTAAACTAATAGTTATTAGCTTTAAAAATATTATATAATAGCTTAATAACTTTTAGAAAGAAACCGTTTTATTATAATATATCTTTTAGTAATTATATATAGAAGTCTCGATTTAGTTTTATAATAGATTATATATAAATATAATATATTAGCTAGTTTACTAAATTATTAGTAATTAGATAAGAATAAGAAACTTCTTATTATTATTATATACTTAAATAATAAATCTTAATTTCTTAAAAGTAATACTAATACTTTTATTTTTAATTTTATTAATAAATCTAAAATTAAAAACTCTAATATTATCTAATATATTAGTAAAATATATAAATTAAAAGACTTTATAGCTAATTAAATTATTAATTTTATTTTATTTTAAATATTTGAACTATTTTAAAATTTATATAATAAATATAATAAAATTAATAAAATTTAATATAAATAAAGAATATTTTCTAAATATACTATAGCTATAATAAATTAGTTATAGCTTTTATATAAACTAGTTTAAAGATTTATTATAGTTTTAAAATTAATTATTATATTAAGATTTATCTTATAATTCTATATTTTAAAGTTCTTTAATATCTGGTTTTATAAAATAAAACTTAATAATTATAATTCTGAAATTTGTAAGTCTATTTAGTAATTTAATTATATAGTTCTTTTTATTAATATATATAATTTAGTTTATTTTCCGGTTTTATTATTTTTAGAACTTTATATTATATTATAATACTTGAATTAAGTAATAAATCTTTAATAGAAATTATATTTGATTTATTATATTAGTTTAATATATTATTAATTTGTTTTTTAATATATAGCTTATATATTTTATTTCTTATTTTTTGAATTATAATAGTATATTAAAAAATAAAATATTATTTTTAGCTATTTTAAAATATATATTAAAAATAAATAAAATTAATATAATATTATCTAATTTAATTATATTATTTATAGCTTTAAATACTATTTATAAAATTATATTTTTATTAAAATCTAGTAATTTCTTAAAGATAATTTAATATATTTATTATATAAGACTATAATAATATTCTATTATATTAATAAAGTTATAAGCTTTTATTAAAATACTTTTAATTAAGGTTTCTATAATTATAAAGTATTTCTTGAATTCTTTATTAATAAAGTTCTTTCTAGTATTATATATAATTAAATCTAAGAATTTTAAATAAATATTAATTTAATATTTATATAATTTCTTTTATATATATTTTATAGAAATATTATATAACTATTTATTAATTTAGAAATATATAATATTATTAATAATATATAATAATAACTAGCTATTAATATATATATATATATATATAATAATTAAATTTAATATATTTCTAATAATAATAATAATAATAAAACTTAATAAAATATTATAGAATATTAGTATTAATATTATAG